GCTAGGCACGTCTTCTCTGTGACCCCAAACGAAGTCTTTCCTTCTGAGATGAACCCCAAGGTAGGGACCACCTAAAGCTGTGCCCATCTTAACCTAAGAGAGAAAGATCAACTTTTAAACTTGAGAGCACCAGTATTCACTCACACTGAAAAGGCCTGAATTAATAATCTCTGCATCACTGAATTAGTCTAGCTGCAGAAAGTAGTTTTAAGGTAAGGCTTGGCAGTATTTCAGGACACTTATTACAACATTTTGATCTTGGGTGCCCTGCATCATACAAGAGAAAGTAGAGTGCGAAACCTTTATAAGCAAAAATTGCTCTCCTCGACCAAATCCATAACTGGCAGATTGCAACTGAACTTTACACTCACAGATGCTGTTGAATACAAGAAGAAATAGAAGCTTCCTTTAGTGAAAGACAGGTAACAGAAATCTGGCACCCAGGAGCAGTCAGCCACATCTCAACAGACTCCGTTAACTCAGGTCATACAGGGGGAAGATGGTACACTAGGAACATGCACATCCACCTCGATCTGAGCAGGGAGAGCTAGATTCACATGTATCTCCCAATATTCCCTGCAGTGTACAACCAGGAGTACACAAATAAAAAAAATAAATTACTACATTTGTTATGGGAAACAGACTGTTATGATTTTACCTTCATCTGTGTCCAGTCCTCCTTGTAATGAGTCCTGTCTGCCTCATCTGTGGATTGAAGATACTTGTTTCTGAACTCGTCTCCCACTACACGGAGGTGTTTAGCAAACACCATGCTCCGACGGGTCTGTTGGAATAAGAACAGATGCCAAGTCAGAAAAAGGGAGACCTAAAAATTACTAAATGGAGATAGTTTCACATACACAGAGCTTCCAGGATACAGTTACTTCTGAAACATCCATGCAGCACTACAAGCAACAATTTCTAAGCTTTCATCTGAGCTTTAACTGATTAATCCTAATCATAATCACATTTATAACCAGCATACTCATCTGACTCTGCAATACATGGGTGTACAGAGTAGACTAGTTATTTACAAAACAGAACACATACTGTACCAAAGGGGAGGTTTAGATTGAATATTAGGAAGAATTTCTTCACCAAAAGGGTTGTTAAACATTGAACAGGCTGCCCAGGGAGGTGGTGGAGTCACCATCCCTAGAGGCATTTAAAAGTCGTGTAGACGTGGTGCTTAGGGACATGGTTTAGTGGTGGTCTGGGACATGGTTTAGTGGTGGTCTGGGACATACTAGGTTTATGGTTGGGCTCCATGATCTTAAAGGTCTTTCTTTCCAACCTAAACGATTCAATGATTCTACGAAATTAAACACTCTGGCAAAATACCTCACCTTTGGAAACAAAAGTTGGGCAAAGACTTTAGGTTGCAAAACACCCATAAGAATAAAACCTGCTTAAAAAAATCATGCATCTAGCCACAGACACTCTTCTCAAATTCTGTGGAAAAGTGACGAAAAAGGAATTATTTTCTTCACCTATGGATAATAATCTCTTTCAAAGAGTTTGTGAAGCAGTTACCACTGCACACAGTCATCCACAGCCTTCTTATTAACAGGCATATACAGCAGAAGTAAGGAAATCCCACGTGACTTAAACCACTTACAAAGGACACTTGGCAATTTGGTCTAATTCTTAATTTTATCCAAGTCTGTAGTCTGTCATGTTGTGGGCACCAAAGAAGGTGCAACAAAAACACTCCTCTTACATTTCCAGCAGCCTCTCTTTTCTCAGCAAAGTGAAGCCCACAGTGGACAGTTTGCTACACAGCAGAGAAGCCAGGCAGAGCATGACCGGTACTCTTAAGACATAGCCACACCAATCATGCCTTCGCCTTGCTCTAGCAAAGAGGCAGGAACTAGAATCTGCCAGCCTTTTTTCACTTTTTCCCAGAGCAGCTAATTTCACCATATGCCAAATTCGCTGTGGTTGAACTGGTTCCTCCCCCCTATCATTCAGTAAGCCGCAGAATGATTTAGTCTTCTGTAAGATCTGTCACACTGGTACATGGATATCCGTGTCCCTCTAAATATTTAATGGCAGTACAAAGTCTGCTCCTCTAACTTCTTTAAAGAGACCAGCACTGGCTTTCTAATACCATCCCAAATCCTCCAGCAAAACATTTACTTCAAGGGAGGATATAAACACTGTCTGCTGCAGAACGCTCGTGCTGCAGTTCAGAGAGATGTTTTCCCTCCTTTTTGTAACATGTCAACACAATATGATCCACAATAAGATGTCAAGTCAAGCCATTGGGTACCCTACCCAAGGTGTGATGAACACGTTAAGCCCAAGAGGCAGTAAACGTGTACGCAGCCCATGGCACTGCAGTGCATTGGGGAGGACAATAAACATCTTTGAATGCTATGCTTGTGTCAAACACCTCTAAACTTCATCCTTATGGACTGCGCAACTGTCACGTCATCTTTGGCACCCATGCAGTATGCTGTGCCAAGTTTTTCCTGGACACAAAGCACTCCTCTGACAGCAGCTGTTCTGGATGAACACTTATTTTGCAACAGCGTATGTAAAAGAGAAAATAGATGAACGTGTGAACCGCCACTGACAGACTTTCTAAAGTGGATGCTCTCTGTATCTGGTTATCTTCTTCTTTAAAGTATACGTTTCAAATCTGCACGTGCAATATTGTCACCCTTTCCAACTACCTCCAAGTTTTGCTTCTTCTCCCTTACTGTCTGCAGAGAAAGGAGAGACACTTCTCAGAGATGCACGGAAAAAGATAAGAGGCCCTGGGCCCAAGCTGCAACAAGCCAACTTCTGTTTGGATATCAGGCAAAACCTCTCGCCCACAAGAGTGGCACAGCCATGGGACAGGCCCTGGTGAGGTGGTCAAATTCCATCTGTGGGGACTTTCCACCTTCAGCTGAACAGAGTCTCAAACCACCAGATCAAATTCTGGAGTGCAAACTTCAGGTAAGGGCTGCCAAGATACCTCTCCACATAAATTTTTCTGTGATTCTAAGTTTGGGATAACAAACAAACAAACAAACAAAATCAGCATTGGCTACACTCCCTTTCATGTGCATGAATGGAATTAATGGTATAGATCCTCTAACTCTTTGAGATCACCCCTCCAAAACAGTGAAACCAAATGCAGAACTGCTGGCTTTTCTAGAGTTGTCCTTAGAGAACTTTCTGCTTCCATATAGATGGTAAAGCGCCCATACGGTCTACATGCTACACTGATGGTCTTTCAAGGGATTCAACAGTTGATCCTAAACCATTTTGGGAGACCTTTCCTGCTCCGTGGTAATTCAACCATTAAGAATCCCAAAACAATACCTTTCACCTTGCAGGGGTAGAGAAGCCTAGACAAAAATGGTGACAACAGTGACAGCAATGCAGCTTAATATTAAGTTCAAATATTTTTGGACACCAAAGTCGCAGGTTGGTTGCAGTAGGAAGCTGCCTTGTTATAATTTAAACACTTCTTTGAGACAAGGGGGCATCTGTTAGCAAGATTTATAAAGAACTCCAGATGTAATACAGACACATATTAAGGAAAAAAAAAAAACAAAACACCAATCCAAAATCACGCAGGTAGTTAAAACTGAAATAAAAGAAAGAAGAAAGTTTTCCAGAAAGTTTTAAATAATTTTTATACAAGTTTAAACTGTTGAGACAATGCTTGAAGCGCCACTGTTAAGAAATGTGTGTTACGGTTCCATACGTATTTTACATCTGCTTTTACAGGACTACAAGTCAGACTTAGAAATGATACATGGGTTGCATTTCTTTGTTTGGAAAGTCACTCTCAATGAAAAATTCATAGTTAGCAAACTACTGTTTGGTCCGTTTCTGGAAAATATGCCACATACCAGATGTTTGTATCTTACAAGACTGAGGTCTATGTAACTTGTTTCGTAATATCGTGAGAGTCACTTTCTCTTAGAAATTTTAATTATATCAAGCGCTTCATAATGTGTTCCGTTTTCCTGGGGCTGAACCTTTAACTTTGTCTTAAAACTTCTCCCCTAGGAATTACTTTACCACAGACCCTTGGGTGGGATCCCCCAAAGTGCTCAGCATTACCTTGAAACCCATGGGAATTTTGCCATCGAAGTCAATGGGGAGACACTTAGGACAATATTGAGCACTTTTGGGAATTCTTTTGAAAACTCTAATTTTGCGGCTGACTAGACAAGAAACTGTGCAACGGCAGTTCCCTTCTGATTGCAGATGTGTTGCATAGGGGAGGTCCTTCCGAATGCCACACACGGCAGCATTGAGTCTTTGGGAACAAGATACTAGGACAAACTCCTGCATTACATTAATCCACAGCAGCCTGAGGACCATCTTTAGCACAAGCTGCTGAAACATAACACAAGTTATTTTCAAGAAAAGAAACCCGAGGCAAAACTGAAGCACATATCTGTTATTGACTTTTTATTAGAACCAAGTAGAAAGTCTAGAGAAGCTAACTGGAAAATACTCACATTCCAATAATCTTTCCCTCCGTAGTGGTCATGAAGAAGGTTTTCAGCTCTGTCTAACATCACTGACCTATTAAAAATTGTAAAACTGAGTGTAGTTCCCTTAGGAATAGAATTTACATTATGATGTTTCTTTATATAATTGCCAGGATAAAGCACAGACTATGACCTGTTTGCAAAGGGGGCACAGGGAATGAGGGACAGGCTGCTCATCTGTTCTGTATAAAGCAAATTGTGACCCATAGCCTGCCGGGGAGAGAAGGGAACTACGCCACTGTGTGTTCCTGCTCTCTTCCTTAATAAATGGTACTCTCAATTCTGACAGTTAAACACAATCAAGCATTAACAATCCCTCACGTAGTCCTCACAGTAGTTGCTGCTGGAGAAACAAGACTGCCAACAGGGAGAGTGATCCAAAGGGGAGAAGCGACCTATGAGATGATGCTCAGCCTCGGCACACGTGAGAGTCTCTTGGAGGAAGTCATGCTCACAAAAGCAAAACCAGAGGTGTGGAATAAAACGTCTGACAGTAAAACAACAGATCAAAGAATGCACAGACACTACAAAAATGTGCTAGCAACTAAGCCCAGATTTTAAAATGAAAATTGTTCACTAACATGAAAACAGCCTGTGCTTTTTCATAACTACACAGAGTTCAGGATTGTGTACTGGAACCATAACTGCACTATCCAAGTTCTAAGAAGCAGAAGAGATTTTGAGAGGTTTGAGTACCCAAGACCATAGGGGATGTAGGCTTAGTTTGTGCTCTGAGAACACTGAATATGAGCAAACACACAGAGAAAGAAATGCTTCTGCTGAAGGCGATCAAAGTCATTATCTGGATCTTCTTCTACTAAATGAGAGGAAGCAAATAACCAATCAACTATGGATTATCACTGCTGATAATCAGTTGCAGACTTGCACATAAGGCTACAAATAATCTGAAAAATAGACTAGACTCTGCTGGTGAAGAACCAGCACTGCATTTAACAGGAAGCTTGGAGGTGAATCAGATTAATAATTGAAATGTATCAAAAAGATTCCTGTAAGTGATCAGACCTGAAGAGTAATGATACAGTCTCAGCTGATTGTCTGGCCAAAAGGGCAACACGGGAGATCAGAGAGGCCATGCTGCACAAGCCACCATAACCACTGGAGATTTTAACTATCCCCAGGTAGGCTGAGCAAGCAGCAGGTCATGACCAAGCAACTGCAGGTTGAGACACTGTCAAAGGCAGTTCCATGAACCAACTGGGCAGGAAGTAGCTCCTGACATCGTCTTGAGCAGCAGCAAGACACGGACCAAAATCTCACAGTGGAAAAACTGTGACAACGGCCATAAATGTACTCCTCTTCAACATCCCACTGGATCAACAACAGCGAAAGGAAAGCTACCGCAGTTGCCTTCAGTTTCAAAAAGGGGACTATGCAAAAATACAGAAGTAGTGTCCGAGTGAATAAAACAGAAAGGCTCGTAAACTCCATGAAGTATAAAAGAAAAAGACTATAAAGAGGAATTTGAGCAACAAAAGGGCCTTCAATCTAATGACAAATCTTCCTTCCAATACAAAGAAAAAGGAAATGAAAGGCTCAACAAGCACTTCGAGATGGTAACGCCATGACAGAAACAGCTAAAGTAGTTTTCTGTAGCTGTGGGCTAGGTGGAGGAGCTGGGAAGATTCAGGTACCAGAACTATATTTTACAGGGGAACTCATCAGAGGACGTGTCTCAAACCAAGGTGTCCATAGGAAGCATCCAGTGATGGAACAGCTAGACTAACTGAACCAATAAATGGCCAACACCAGGCAGTATTCACCCGATGTTGTCAAGGAACTCAAGGATGAAGCACCTGTACCACTAATTCTGGTGTGCAACTTCTTGCTTAAAACTTCAACACATCAAGTGTGACGTCAGTTTTCTAAAAACGCACTTGGGGAGGTCTGGGATGTAACATAGCAGTAAATCTGATGTCAGTACTGGACAACTTAATAGCAACTATCTTAGAAAACAGAATTAATGGGTACCTAAAGCAGTATCAACACGGAGCGCTGAACCCTGAACAATCAGAGTAGTCTGAAGACACAAGCACACACGCAGATAAGGGAAATCTCATTGACACTGCCTGCCAGGATTTCCTGACAGCCTTCGTTAAAGGCTTTGAAGAAAACTTAACAACAATGGCACAGGAGGGAAGGTCCTTGCGTAGATTAAAAAAAGAGTTTAAAGACAGGGACAAATGTCCAGTTATCGTTGTAGATGGAGGTCACAAGTGGAAGGGATCTGCTCTTCACCATATTCCTAAACAGCCTATAAAAGGGCATGAATTTTGGGGTGACACAGCTTGCTGATCATTTTAAATTACTCAGAGCAGCGAAGACCAAGGCCAGTTGTGAAGGATTAGAGAAGTTTTATGACTGGTCAAAAGTGACAGATGAAACCTAATGTAGGAGTGCATCTAGTAAAAAAAAAAAATACTGCCTTCATCTGATAACTGAAGGGCTCGATGCTCAGGAATGAGGACAGTTTGATGAAAATGCGAAGGCGACACTCATCAGAGGTCAAAAAAAAGGAACTTGTATATTAGGAATTACCAGAAAAACAAGAGAGCACTAAACAGAGCATGTCATTATACTACTACGTAATGGCTTTACCCGCGCTCAGTGCGTGGGATCCAGCTGAACTGTAAAGGTTCAGAGAAAGGCAGCAAGGATGACCAAAGGCATGGAATGGCTTTCACACAAAGAACAACTAACAAAGCGAGGACTCTTCACACTGCAGAGGAGACAACTGAGGGGGAATATGATAGAGAGATGTAAAATCACGCATGGCACGGAGGTGAACGTGGAAGAACTGTTTGTTCACTGTCTCTTCCACTACACGAACTAGGGGACATCAGATGAAACTTGCAGGTAGGAGTTACAAAAGGAGGTGGTTTTTCATAGGATGCACAGTTAAGGTGCAGAACCTTTGGGTGTTGTCCCAAGACTTTGTGGATGCTAACAGTGTGCACGGGAATTCAAAGGGAAGCTTGCACAGATCCATGGACTCACTGATGGATATAAAAGATAGGAAGATCACTTTTGGATCAGGTCTCTACAAGCACAAATCTGAAGGGTGTGGCAGGACTCAGGGGAGGCATAAACACACGTCTGCCCAGTTCTTTTTCCCAGACATCTGATTTTAGCCACTCGTGGATTTCACAAACAAAACTAGGCTGACTTTAACACAAACCATTGTAGCTGCCCTTACATTGCTGTTATGTTGGTACTTCTTCCTACTTGTGTCTGATTAAGAAATGTGATCTTGTGGATAAGGCACCTTGTCTGTGTGTTGGGAATACTTGGGCACCACTCCTAATTTTTCTCTTGACTTTGCTCATCACCAGACCTTTGACAGTTGCCAGGAAAGAGTTAACTGTAGGACCAAATATGGAGATCTCTATGGCTTATTTAATCCAGTTTTATGCTGTCACTGGCAAAGATTATAGTGTAACTCCTATAAACAGAACAACATTCCTGTTAAAAAACAGCACTCTGCATCCTCTGCTCCCAGCAGATCCCCACTGCTCTGCTTAGGGGAACCTTCATCTCATTTCCAACTAGATCGTATTGATGTCAAACTTTTGGATGTTTTTGCTCTCATGGCAAAACTGTACTTCAGCTTACATAGTCTGTGTTTCTCCTATGGATTTATTCCCCTGATGTATTCATAAACAGTGATTATTTCCTATTCTCCCCTGTACCCCAGTAGCTTTTGCTTTGCTATGATGTCTTCAGCTGTTAGAGGGTCACAGCTGACTGGAAATACTTTGCTGCTGGGATAAGGTAAGCATGCTCCATCTCTCGTAAGAGCTTTCCTTTCCTCTGATTATCCTAGTGGCATCTCAGAGCAGAAAGATGAAACATGCTGCTTGCTTTCTCTAAACCCAGCTCATACTATTGAGGATGGACGCCACAGACCAGGCACTGCACCTCGTGATCCGACATGTGGGCTTGGGAAACACTGATTCCACTCTGTTCACTCCCTCTTGACCCAGCATGAAAGGGTAAAGGAAGGAAAGGTAAACACAGGGTGGCAAGGACATTTAGCTTCCTGACAGAGAACATAAAGGAGCTCAAGGCTAATTCCTCTTCCGTTTTAGCACTGCAGCACTTAACCTAACTTACAGTTAGGTGTTTCTTACAGTGTAAATTCCCTTAGTAATGATTTTAATGGATTACAATAACTCAGTGATGAAGTACCACAACAGTGGGACATAGCCTGTAAGTTCCCCCTGCTTTGCCCACCTGGCAACGGGCTTGTGAGCATGCAATAAGACAATAAACAGTAATACAAGGCAACTCACTGTGCTGAAGTGTTCTTCAAAAGGATGGGAGCCACAATAGAGGCAGATCCTTGGACAGACAAACAAGAAACATTTAGGCCCCGTGTTTCCTCGTAACCCCAGAACCATCCCCTGAAAAGGAACACAAAGTACTGCTTCATAGGCTTGTAGTTTAAATTAATGCCATATATAATGAAACAAACAAACAGTACACCCTAGAAAGAGGATATATAATGTAAATAAACCAGCCAGCTCCTTTATATCGTTTTTGCGTGAAACAACAGCTTTCTAAAATTAGATCTTCTAGTACCAATACAACATTTTATTACTGATGGGGTTTTAAACACTGAAGTGAACTCCAAACATGCAGAGACTCAGCGATAACACTACAAGAACCGGACAAGTCTGTTCTGTTAGAGTAGGCAAATGCCTCGCTGAATACACCTAAAAAGATGTCTGATAGGACTCCTAGATGTTACCTGTAGTACTCATGTTTGTCTTTGGAGTACATAAGCTGATCAATGCAGGGCCTTTCATCTATTTTTTCTTCCCACGTTCCTTCCTTCCATCCTTCTGCGTAGCCTTGTAGGACATAAATCTGTTCAATAAAGGGCCCACCTGACTCTGAGCAGAAGGCAAAGTAAAGCATTTGTGAGCACGAAAAACCACACGATAAAGGTATGCAATGGCATTACTTGCAGTTAAAAATCTGCTACAAATGCTAATATTACACTCCTCTCTCTTCTCCCTGTTTTGCCTGCAGAAAAGGAAAGGAAGTTCTGTGTGAGCCAGAAAAGCTAAAAGGGTCAGGGGATATGACAACTTGCTACTCCCACCCAGCTACACGTGATTTAATGTGCCAAACGGAACTGAACCACCATGGAAATGTAAATTTAAAAGCTGGGTAAAGCACACCATGAAGCACACAGATTTTCAATGCTGTAGGTAGCTACTATGGGAAGAGTATCTCCAAGAAAATGACAAGTACAAGCCCTTCTTCCCTTCAATTTCAGCATTTCTAAATGCTTTTTCCTGAAAGGCAGGGGACAACGATGCCTTTGGAGCTTTTTGCAGAGGTGTGACATTTGGTGGCCTTTGTTTCTTTTGCTGAAAAAGTCTGTGACACTGCTGCAGGTTTTGGCATTTGGCGATTAGCTCAACATCGCATTAAATCCTATAGGAAACAGCTTCACAGTTTCGATATTCTTAAGGAAAGCCTTTCTCTTATATACGACTTTGTAGAGAAAAAGCAGGGGATAAGTATTTTGAGTATGTGCAGCATCGACGATGAAAAAGTTCACCCAAAGAACCCGCTGTACAGCTTTTACTGTCCAACCACCTCCAGAAAAAGGTGGCTTGTGTCTGTATTTCGACAGAGAGCTGCAAGCTGACTCTCTCTCTCTCTCCTTACAAGTTCGTTACTATGGCCAACATTACGCAGAAGTATCTCTCAGTTTAACCACAGGCTGTCTTTCTCTGGGGTCCCTAGGAAGTCAAGGGGCTGACAGTGCCACATCAAACGAGCTGCCAAATAATTGGGTTATTTCATCCTAGTGGTTTGTAAATCAGCACAATTCTTCCCCATCCCTCCTCTCGCCACCTTTAACTTTTTTTATTTCACATATCAAGGATAAACCTGTGAAGAAACCATCTCAAATACTGACTCAATTCTAGACTGTATGATTCCATACTCTACCTGCAAGGAACTGTTCATATTCAATGACAGGGATGTTCTTGTTGAGGCTTGGGAGATCGAAGAATTCAGACCAAGGTATCCGGACCTGAAGGATGTCAGGGCTCTGCCAGTGATAAAGATTTCCCCAGGGAGGCAGAACTAACACCCAGTTTTCACTTTTCAGCAAGGTCTTTAGAAGGGAAGCAATGCGAATATAGACATCTCTGCGAAGGTTGAACCCTTCAGGAGGATTTACATCATACAAAAGGTACCTGGGGAGAACAAAGCAATACAATTACTTCATGGAGTTTAAACCTTCTACACGTTTGTTTTTGTTTTTTTTTTTTACCCGGCTATCATCCAACGCAACTCTATTGGGATGGAAACTGTTCCTCTTTCATTAATTTGCAGTACTCGGAAGATAGAGGGGAAAGCAGAGCAGTGTGTGTCGCAGGGGCCAGGGGGGTCACAGGGATCTCCTTGTGGGACATCGTCAAGGTGGCACATGGCATGAGCCTTTCCTGCAGTGAGGTGGGATGCCGGGGGCGGGGGGGGCAAGGAGTGAACCTCTCAGACGTCTTGCTCATCCTGAGGGTAACAGGGTGTGTGGCGAGAATGGTGAAAACAACGGGCACATTACTCAGGCTAATTCCCGTGAGCTAAATATGAAGGCAGGGGACATGTTCAGGAGGGACAGCACAAAAGGGTGCAGCAGGGGGTCCCCAGGCCACACTCTGAGCAGGAAAGCCCCCAGACAGCTGCGACGGCAACATCTTCCAGAAACGACCCA